GAACCCGCGGGCTCAGGCAATCCACTCACCTCAGCCTCCCAAAGGCTCGGGATTACAGGCTGAGCCACCAAGCCTGGCATTTTTAAAATATAAATGTATTTTCTTTCTTTTAAAAAAAATTTTAGAGTCCAGGATACAGTACATGTTTGTTACATGGACAAATTGTGTAGTGGTGGAGATTGGGTCTCAGGTGGCCCATTCCCCAAGTAGTGAACCTCATATCTAATAGGTAATTTCTGAACCCTAAGCCTCCTCCCAGAAAACCTACATAATGGGAAAAAGCATTTGCAAATTATGCTTCAGACAAAGGACTATATCCTGAATCTACAAGGAACTCAAACAATTCAAAGTGAAAAAAGCAAACAATACTATCAAAAAGTGGCAAAGGACATGAACAGACACTTCTCAAAAGAAGACACACAAGAGGCCAACAAAACATATGAGAAAATACTCAATATCACTAATTATCAGAGAACTGCAAATTAAAACCATGATGAGATATCTCCTTAACATCAGACAGAATAGCTATTATGAGAAAGTCACAGAACAACACATGTTGGCATGGTTGTAGAGAAAAGGGAATACTCATTCACTGTTGGTGAGATTGTAAATTAGTTCTTCCCTTTTATAAGAACATTTTCAAACATACACAAAAGAAGAAAGAGGAGTCTAATGAACTGCCATGTAACCACTGTCCTGTATCTGCAATTATCAACATTTTGCTGTTTTTTTGGCCTTAGTATTTTATTTTATTATTTTATTTATTTTTATTTTTGTAGAGATGGGGTCTTGCTATGATGTCCAGGCTGGTCCCGAATTCCTGTGCTCAAGCAATTCTCTCACCTTGGCCTCCTAAATTGCTGAGATTATAGTCATGAGCCACAGCACCTAGCCTCTACCATACTATTTTAAAGTAAACATGTCATCTGTCATTTTCCTGATAAATACTTTACTATTCATCCCTAGTAAGATTTTTTTTGTTTTGTTTTACACAACTGTCATACCACTATGGGTTGAATGTTGAATGAATGTTGAAATTTAGTTGCCATTGTGATGGTATTAAGAGGTAAGACTATTAAGAGCTGATTAGGCCACAAGGCCTCCGCCATTATGAATGGATTAATGCCATCATTGTTCCTGATAAAAGTGAGTCAGGCCCCCTCATGCCCTTGCTTTCTCTTGCCCTTTCTTGCCTTTCCACCATGGGATGATGGAACAAGAAGGGCCTCACCAGATGTTGGCACTTTGATATTGGACTTCCCAGTCTCCAGAACTGTAAGAAACACATTTCTCTTCTTTATAAATTACCCAGTATTTTGTTATAGCAACATAAAATGGACGAAGACACATACTATTATCATACCTAAGAAAATTAACTGTAATTTAATGTCTTCTAAGTCCCATGTCATCTTAAGAATTTCTCAGTTGTTTCAAAGACTTCATTGTATGAAATTAGCAGCCAAATCCCTACATCACATTCTGCTGTTAGGTCTTGTTAAGTCTATTTTTTTCATAACAGCTTAATCACTTATTGTGCAATCTCACTGCTTTGTTGGAGAAATGGGCCATTTGTCCTGTGGCTGTCCCATATTCTGACTTTGGCTGATTTCTTCCTTGTGGTATCATTTAGCTTGCTCTCCTGTTCCTGGTATTCCAGGACTGTAAACTGGGTCAGTACTGCCTAGTAGTACTTTCTTCAATGATGGAAATGTCTCTATCAACACTCTCCTATGCAGTAGTCACATGTGGCTATTGAGCACTTAAAATACGGAAGTATGACTGAGGAGCTTAGTTTTCAATTTAATTTCAATTAATCAGATTTAAACAGAAATAGGCACATATCGTGAGTGGCTACTATATTAGCTCTAGCTAGAAGCTTGATTGGATTCAGGTTTAATATTTAGGCAGGAACATGTAGATGGTGCTGTGGATGTCATATTGCATGTAAAGTCCAGCATGTCTGTTTGATACATTTTTAGAGATTTTTAAGACTGATTGTTGGTCTCAAGGGATTTAACCTGCATCTCTAATAATCTCCTGATGAAAGTAGGTGCTAACTGATGGGGAATAGTTTTTTTCTTTGCAGTAAGCCCTCTTCAGCATCTCTAAAACTGCCTTTGGTGGAAGTTGCATTATCTGCCTTTGCCTGAAGCAGGCGCTATTCAGCGACCCCATCCTCCCTGTGTCTCTCTTACTAGGGCCTGACCGTCTGTGTTTGCCTTTGTGTAGGGGGAGATATCAGGTTATACCAGAAAATGTCCTGCTCAGCGGAGAACTGCACTGAAGAGACAAATACTACAGCCTTCACAGTGCACGTTTCGGATGACGGCCGCTTCCATTTTGCAAGCCAGTGCTGCCAAGGAAAGGAGTGCGGCAATGCCAGCAACTCCCTGGGTGAGTGTGGTCATGCAGGCACCCCTCCAGAGTCCTCCCAACCCTGGCCCTTGCTTTCCTTCTGTGCTCCTTGCCCTTAGGTGGACTCCTCAGTCTAGACACTTCAGTGCATGTCTGGGTAACATCAAAGTCTGACTTATAGCAATTATGTAAGACACAAGTCAGACAAGCTAGCAATACTACCATGCTGTCCCCCCTTCTTAGTAAAGACAGATGTTACAAGCATGCCAAGTTGTAGGGGGCAGGCATCAGATGCCCACTGGCAGTTCTCAAACTTCGTGATTTTAGGCACTCTGTTAAGACGCTAAGTCTTAAAAACTATTAAGGACCCTGAAGAACTTTTGTTTATGCGAACTCCATCTATTAATATTTACTGTCTTAGAAATTAAAGCTGGCCAGGAGCAGTGGCCCAAGCCGGTAATCCCAGCATTTTGGGAGGCCGAGGTGAGAGAACTGCCTGAGCCCACGGGTTTAAGAACAGCCTGGGCAACTTAGTGAGGCCTCATCTCTACAGTGGATAAAAAAATTAGTTGGGTGTGGTAGAGCGCTCCTGTAGTTCCGGCTACTTGGAAGGCTGAGGCGGAAGGATTGCCTGAGCCCAGTGGGTCAATGCTGGGGTGGCTGTGAGCGTGCCACTGCATTCCAGCCTGGGTGATGAAGTGAGACTCCAACTCAAAGAAAAAAAAGAAATTAAAGCTAAGAAAATTTAGAAATCTTAATCAGTTTGCTCAAAATAACACAATAAACCAATTACACACTAACATTCATAATATTTTTACATAGAAACAACTGTATTTTCTGAAACAAAACTATTTGGTGAGAAGAGTGGCATTATTATTATATTTTTTGCAAAGCACTTAAGTTTCCAGCTTAACAAAAGGCAGTTGGATCTGCAAATTTGCTTGTGCATTTAGTCTGTTGCAGTCTCAAACATCAGGTAGTCTCTGGAAAACTCCCCTGTATACTTATGAAGAAAGAAACTAAAAGAGGAAAATAACATCTTAGTATTATCATGAAAATTGATTTGAAATTGTTTTTGAAAATTGTGGACTCCCTAAAAAGGTCTCAGAGACTCAGGGGTACAGACTACAATGTGAGAACTGCTGATCCAGACCAAATCTCTCTTTTTGAGGAAGAGAAAACGTGGTCAGTAAAGCATTGACCATGTTCACAAAACACAGTTAATTAAGAGAAGAGTTGAGTCTCAATATAATTTTCTTTTCTAGTCATATTGTTAAATAAGAGCCTGTGCTCATTTGTTCAGATAGTTGCACACCTGTTGGCTAATGTTCAGAAGAGCTGGCTAATGTTGATGTGGACTATCGGTTGGTTCTAGCTCAAAATCTTACCTTCCCCTCTCAGTTCATACCCTGACACATTTATGGACCTCAGTTCATAAAGACTGGGTGATCTGTTAAGGCAGACCTGTAAGGCTGCATGTAGAAAATATTTTAGGGGGACACAGTGTTTCAAAGCCAGATCTGAGATGCTAAGGGACGCAATTGGTCTTTCTCAGGATTTCTCTGGTGGTTTCTTTGCTTGCCCATTCCCTTCCTCCAGGGCAGTACCATGTTCTGTGTGATAACACCATCCTGAGTAATGATTCTTACTCTACCCAGATGCTCCATTGAAAAACACGGTCAGCAACACAGAGTGCCCTGCTTGCCATGGGCCTAATGAAACTACCTGTAGCGAGACAACCCGGAAGTGTTATAAAGATGAACGATGTGTCTATCTACTTGCACAATTCGAGAATGGTATGTCTTGGAGCTCTAATTCCTTTATGAAACTTGAGTAGAAAGCTTGTGGAGTCTTGGGTCATACGTACTGGGTAAATACAGAAGGGTCAGGGGGAGCAGTGTCATAATGTCTTTGACATCAGGAGGCTATTAATACAGCCTTGAGCTGGTTGCTATTTGTGCCTTCTTAGTCCAAAACTGTTTCTCCTGGGCTGCCCTTCTCTTGTCTCCTGTTCTCCCGTCAGTTCTCTTGTCAGCAAGCCATGCTTGTCCAAGTGTATCATGCCACTCCTGACCTTACTTCTTTGCTAGGTCGCCATCTTTCTGTAGGTGTGGGTGGGTGCAACTTTAATGTCCTTTTATACGTACACTTTCCTTCTCTTCTTGTCCCTGAGAGGTGCTGGCTTATGGGGGCTTAAATCACCTGGCAGAAGGAGTCAAATTGGGCTTTAAAGTCCAACCAGTTATACTTTTCTTCAAAAGCAATTTGATGCTAGCCATTATGAAATACAAATTTCCAACATTTGCACAAATAGTTAAAGGATAATACATTTATTAGTTAGAGTTAGAGTTAGTTAGTTGCTACTGAAGAACAATCCTTTGGCTCAATGTAACAGGTGTGCATGTCTTGCTCATGGAGCAGTTCATGACAGAGTCCAGGGCCTGGGCTACTTCTGCAGCTCTGGCCCTACTCCCCCAGGACTTGACAGCTCACCAGCCGCAGGGAATGGAGGAAGGAAGGAAGGAAGGAGGGAGGGAAGGAAGGAAGGAAGGAAGGAAGGAAGGAAGGAAGGAAGGAAGGAAGGTAGGTAGGCAGGTGTTTATGGGTTAGGCCTAGAAGTGAACGCATTCACAGACCCGGTCATGTAGCCGCTGACTGAAAGGGAGGCTAGGAAAGTGGGACAGTGGTGGCCCAGGAGGAAAGAAAGAATAACAGGTGTTTAAGAACACCAACATCCAGGTACAATTTGGCTTTAATTTTTGTTGAATGTCAATTATAGTAGTAGACATCAATGCTTAACTATAATCATGGACTTTTCAGTGGGCCAAGTATCACACTTATCCTGAACCTTTAACTTTTTAAAATAAATTCTATTTTTTAGAGCAGTTTTAGACTCACAGCAAAACTGAGCAGAAGGCATAGAAATTTCCTATCCACTCTTGTCCCCACCTATGCATAATCCTCCCCCTGTGAAATTGCCACCGGAGATTTGTTACAATCTATGAACCACATCATTATCCTCCATAGTCCATAGTTTACACTAGGGTTCCCCTTCTTGGTGGTGTACATTCCATGAGTTTGGATAGATGTATAATGTCATATATCCACTACTGTGATACTACCATAGAGTGTCTTCACTGCCTTCCAAATCCTCTATGCTCAACCTACTCATCCTCCCCTCCCCTCTGACCCCTGACATCCACTCATCTTTTTATTGCCTCTACAGTTTTGCCTTTTCTAGACTATCCTATAGCAGGAATCATACAATATGTAACTTTTCCAAAATGGCTTCTTTCCCTTAGTAATATGCATTTAAGTCTCTTTTTACTTTCAACACTTCTGGGATGTTTCCATTGCTATGATTTTTAATTTCAAAGTTGCATCCTAGGACAGCACTGGTGTCAGAAGAACTTTCTCTCTCTCCTCATCTTGTTCCCAGGTCTGGTGTAAAAGATGGATTTTTTTTCCCCACAGAGTTTGACTAAAACTGAAAGCCAGATGGATCAAATCCACCATAAATGTAGTGTGATTTTTTTTTTGGGGGGGGCTTGTTTTTGTCCAAGATCACTTAAAAAAATACTGTAGATATGTGCCAAGCAATACATCTTCCCAACTCAGTATAACTCAGTCTTCAGCACTGATGCTTGCTGTGAAACAGCAAGGAATTGCTTTCTTTACTGCGATTTGGAGGTTTCTCACTCCTTTTAGAACAAGTTTAGTGTCAGCTTTGGACTAATGCAGCTCCACTTCTAACAGTAGTGAGAGTGGAGTCACTTCACCTCTGAGAGTGCCTCCTCCTTGTACTTGTCCTTGTCTTCTGTAAGCTGCTGTCTCCCAGGGTGGTTTGAATTGTAGCTGGCAGCGCAATAAGGACACACAGTAAGTGCTCAATAAGCGTAGCTATTGTTAGCTGGGCATGGTGGCTCATGCCTACACTCTCAGCACTTTTGGGAGGCTTAGGCAGGAGGATTGTTTGAGCCCAGGAGTTTGAGACCAGCCTGGACAACGTGGTGAGACTGGCCTCTACAAAATAATTTAAAAAAATTAACCAGGCATGATGGTATGCACCTGTAGTTTCAGCTACTTGGGAGGCTAAGGTGGGAGAATTGCCTGAGCCCGAAAGACAGAGACTGTGGTGAGTCATAATCCTGTCACTGCACTCCAATTGGGTGATAGAGTGAGACTCTGACTCAAAGTAAACAAACAAATAAATAAATACATAAAATAAAAAAGTAGCTGCAGTCATGGCCACATTTTCTGCGCAAATGCCCTAGGCCTTTTTCTATAATCTGAATCTGAAAACATGGTTAAACACCACAGAACTTGAATCAAGGGGTGAGACAGGCCATGGTCTTCTGCATCCCTTCTGGCTGCTTGGCCTTCTCATCAGGGAAAACTCAGGCAGGGAGGATTCTTGTCCAGAGAGCAGCAGGACTTGAAACCAAGCCTGAAAGAAGAGAGGGAGCCTAGGGCGACAACCCCCTCCAGGACTGAAGGCAGAGCGCTGCCTTTCAAGCCTGTCCCTGGCTTTTTTGCTTGCCTTCTAGCAGGATCACAGGAGATGAAAGTCCAGGGTCCAGTTCTGACCTGCAGTTTCAAGTTTGGGCTGGAGAGTCACCTCGGGGAACCTCAGTTTCCTCCAGGGTTAGGTGGAGGAGGTGGTCTGGTCCCCTGACTACCACAATCCCGCTGCTATTACCATTTGGTACTCTCGACCCTGGCCTCCCTTCGCTGGTGTGGGTGTCAGGAACAGGGCTGCTCTAGCAGGTCACTGGAAAGGTGGGGGGACCCCAAAGCAGGTGACATAGAAGGACAAAGTGCCATGTGGGGTCCTCATTGTCTCCTTTGCATTCACAGACACCATGTCCAAAAATCTTGTGCTGAAAGGTTGCTCAGACATCAGTAACTCCATCTGCCAGTTTCTGAATGGTGGAAACAAGACTCTGGGAGGTGTTATCTTCCAAAAGTTTGAGTGTGCAAACCCCAAGTTTTCATCGACCACCAACCACAAAGCCTCCCTCTTCTCCCTGGCCTTTGCCAGCCTCCTCCTGCTGGGACTGCTGCTCTGAGACCCTGAGGCTGTGTCCCACCCCTCCCAACTAACTGCTTGGTGAGTGGGAGTCCCAGGCCTCCAGGTGATGCCTGCCGCTGCCTTGTTCTTCATGATTAAAGCCTCGGTTCACTCATTGACCAAACCTATCCTGCTACGTCCTGGGCTTGCTTCATTTGGGTCTCTGTCCAATGCCACTTGCCACCTCTGGGCAGCAAGGGTGGGGTCCTTGTCCTGAAAACCGTGGCACGTTTGTCTCTGGGCTCCAAGAACAGCCCTGCCTCCCTGCTCATCCTTTTTTTGAGAAGCTGGCCCTTTGACCTTGCTGGCATCGTTCGCTTGTAGCCCTGACCTCTGGGGACCGACATATTGCAGTCCCCACCCTCCACACAGAAAGCACCCCAGCCATGCCCCATGAGGCCCTGTGTTGACCACAGTGCCCACACAGAAGTTCCTGCAGTCTTGGCTGAGTACCTGGCTCTGTGACAGTTGCCTCGGTAGTGGTCAGAGTACTACTGTGAGAGAAGAAGACAAGAGCATCCTCTCAGGGTCCTGTCACTGTGGGGCCCAAGGAGATGCAGAGGGGCTGCTGGACACCCACATGCCCCCACTGCCTGATTCCCCCTGGTGAGAACATGATAGAGTCATTGGGCGACCAGTAGTTCTGGGCTTGACCTGTTGCCTTGTGCAGAATGGAATGTGGCTACAGCGTCCCTGTCCCTCCTCTCAGAGAGCTTACAGTCACACACAGTCATAAATTTTTATCAAATACCAAGGGAGCAAGAAAACCCTTCAATCTAATATGCACAGAAGTCCTGGGTTAGTAAGTAAAGTGGGCCTTGAACAAGACTTGGAAGAATGGGGTTTGCTGTAATAAACTAATGTAAACTAATGTGGGTCTATATTATACAGAACTGCTGATATTACATCAAGAGCAAAGCCACCATAAAGGACATCTGATGGCAACTCACTACTACATTCATGCTTACTTATTATAACTTTTTATTTTGAAAGGTAGTTTTAGACTTACTAAAAGTTGCAAAATATTAGAGTCCAGTACCCCCACCCTACTTCTTCTCATGCTCACATTTCACAAAACTACAACACAGTTTATAGAATAAGGAGATATGCACTGAACCGTATTGTTAACTAACAGACCTCATTTGCAATTCACCAGCTTTTACAAATGTCCTTCTTTTCTGCTACCTTTTTGCAATTAATTGTCATGTCTCCTCAGTGTCCTTCCATCCGTGACAGCTCTGAAATCTATCTTTCAAGACCCCGATGATTAAGAAGACCATTGGCCAATTATTTTGTAGCATGTCCCTCCACCGAGCTTGTCTGAAGTTTTCTCATGACAAGGTTAAGGTCATGCATTTTTGTCATGAATACCACAGCAATGACGTGACCTTCTCAGTGCAGCTTTTCAGGAGTTGTACTATGTCCATATGTCACATTACTGGTGATGTTTACCTTGGGTAAGGTTGGTGTCTGGTTTTTGCCAGATTTCTCCTCTGTAAAGTTACTATTACTTTTTTTTTAAAGAGTTTTTGAATGCGTCCATTTTGAAGCCTTTTAGGGCTTCCGCCATTTTTTTGTCTCACCTTTTCCACATTGGCAAAATGTTTCTCTTTGAGAACTTTTTTCATCCAGGGAGACAAACAAAAAAAATCACTCAGGGTGAGATCTGGTGAATAGGGAGGGTGGGGTACGGAGATCATGCTGTTTTTGGTTAAAAACTGCCAAACACTCAGTGCACTGTAGGGAGGTATGTTTGTAAATCACCCATCATACAATGGACAAATGTGTTGAAAGAATCTCAAAAAACCAAAACAAAACAAAACAAATGAACAGAAGCCAAACACAGCCTCTTACAACAAAGCTAGCTAGTACAGTGATGTCAATGGGTTCCTAGAACACTTACCTATTGGAGGAACCCTACAAAGGGCCTGCCCTCCAAAAGATAATTCTGTTTTTTTGGGGGGCTCCCCCTTGCAGTTCTCTCTGTGAAGCATAGCATAGTGCTTAGCAAGGAGTAAATGTTAACAGCTCACAGATGACTGCAGTCTGGATGTTGCTTTCCTGGCACGCTAGGGACAGGGAAGAACAGCAGGGGTGAAGGAGAAAGAGGGTGCAGTCCGAGCCCACTTCCCTCAGACCACGACAACCTCGCTTAGGCTATCAGCTTTTTCTGTTTCAGTCGCAGGATCTCCTTTCCCCTCACCCTCCTCCCTATACAATGATATTGTGTGCATAGTTTACATCCACTCCCCGTGAATATGTAGAAGTCCCCACTCACAACAGTTTCTCCAGGCCCCTGCACCGTCCACTCTACTCTAGCCCCCTCCTGGAAATCATAGAGTGCAGGCAGCACTTTGCTCACATCCATTAAGCTGTACTGTCACTTGGCACCACCTGGACTCAAGGTGATGGGCAGAATAGTCCCTAAAGGTCAGCTCTTCCCAGCACCAGCTCTGCCCATGAAAACGGAGGTCAGGGGCTGTTTCCATCAGACCCCAAGTACTTCTTTCCACTACTCACTGCTTCATCCAGGAAGACAGAAGGAGGGTGTGGGGTTTTCTTCTTTGTGCTCAGGACTAGGCTTGGGACCTCTCAGCTAAAACTTTATTAAATTATGATCTGAACTAAATCTCCAAAAATTCTTAACCTGAAATATGAACTGAGCCAAAGTAAAAGCAAATTATCACTTGTAAGTCTCTACAATGTACATTTTTAATACATTGTACATATTTATGGGGTACATGTGATATTTTGACACATGCATACCATATGTAATGATCAAATTAGGGTAACTGGGATATGTGCCACCTCAGACATTTATCAATTCTTTGAGTTGGGAACATTCCAAATCTTCTCTTTTAGCTATTTTGAATTATACAATAAATTATTGTTAGCCACTGTCACCCTACTGTGCTATTGAACACTAACTTACTCCTTCCATCTAACTCTATTTTTGTACCTATTAATCAACATTTTTTTCTCCTATCTTTTTCAGCCTCTGGTGACACCATTCTACTCTCCATACATGAGATCCACTTTTTTATCTCCCACATGAGTGAGAACATGCAATATTTCTTTTCCTGTTCCTATTGTATTTCATTTAACATAAATTCAACATCCCTTCAGAACAAAAGCCTTCAATAAACTAGGTATAGGATGAAAATATCTCAAAATAAAGGTCATATATGACAAATCCACGGTTAACATAATATACAATGGAGGAATTGAAAGCCTTTTTTCTAAGATTTGAAACAAAACAAGGACGCCCACTTTCACTGCTTTTATTAAATATTGCACTAGACATCCTAGTCAGACAAGTTAGACAAGAGAAAGAAAGGGCATTCAAATTGGAAAGGAAGATATCAAATTGTCTTTATCTGTAGATGACATGATTTCATATTTAGAAAAACACTAAATATTTCACCAAAACCTGTTAGAATTGACATACAAATTCAGTAAAGCTGCAGGATACAAAGTCAACATACAAAAATCAATAGCATTTTTATACGCCAATAGTGAACAGTCTGAAAAAAATCAAGAAAGCAATGCCATTTACATTAACTACCAAACTAAAAATAAATAAATAAATAGATCATTCTTAGGAATACATTTAGCCAAAGAAGTGAAAATTCTTCACAATGAAAACCATAAAACATGACAGAAACTGAAGAGGATGCACAAAAATGAAAAGATATTCCATGTTCATGAACTGTAAAAATAAATATTGTTAAAGCATCTGCACTACCCAAAGTATTATACAGATGCAATAAAATCTCTATTAAAATATTAATGTCATTCTTTGCAGATATAGGAAAAAACCCTAAAATTCATATGGAACCACAAAAGTCCTCAAATAACTAAAGCAATACTGAGCCAAAAAGAAAAAAAAACCCCAAACAAAACAAAACTAAAAAAACAAAGGTGGAGGCATCATACTACCTGATTTTACATTATGTTACTAAGCTATAGCAACCAAACGGCATGGTACTGGATAAAAACAGACATATAGACAATGGAACGGGATAGAGAACCCAGAAATAAATCTTCAACATACATCTTTAACCAGACTTGTGAATCTAGAGATGTTTTGCAAGGTCCTTAGGCATCCAAATCTGGCTGTAGAACTGAGAACAGAAGTGAGAAGGGTTGAGAGAAGGAAGATCCCAGGCAGGTAGGGCAGCAGACTTGGGGCACCATTGTCTTAGCCTGGAGAAAGCAGCTACTTGGGTCAAGTAATTCTGGGGTTTCTAGTATCCCCAAAAGTGCTCCCTGCCAGCTGAGTTACAGAGAAAAGTAAGTCCTCAAGACATACTGTGTCCCAGGAAAAGAGAAGGTAGTGACCAGTTTGAACTTTGGTGCCAGTGGCTCATAGTATATCATTCTCAGAAGCAGGTTTTTAAATACATATATATTTTATTTATTTTTCAGCCAAGGTCTCACTTTATCACCTAGGCTAGAGTACAGTGGCACAATGATGGCTCACTGCAGTCTTAACCTTCTGGACAAGGGGATCCTTCCGCCTCAGTCTCCTGAGTAGTTGGGACTACAGGTGTGTGCCGCTATGCCTGGCTAAGTATTTGAATTTTTTTTTTGTGTGTGTGATGAAATCTTGACACATTGCCCAGGCTGGTCTTGAACTGGGCTCAGGCTATCCACCTGCCTCAGCCTCCCAAAGTGTTGGGTAAGCCACCAGAGCCTGGCCCCGGAAGCGGGTTTTAAAGGAGGATGAGTTGGGACATTCTCAGACCCTCACATGTCAACCCTGAAGCAGGAGGTGTGTCTTTGGACCCTTGCCCAGTGTTAGTCACACATGCAGAACAACAGTGCTGGTGGGCTGGTTCTTAGCAGGAGACCCACTCAAGTCACTGTCGGCAGACACCTTATGGGGACAGTTACGACCTAGAGGGAGGGCTCTTGAGGAAGTTAAGCCAGAAGGTGGGTGCGAAAACAGGAAGGGTCCTGAAGGTGATGGGGAGCCCGAATCAGGAAGCTGAGAGT